CATTGCTGATGTGGCGCAGGCCACCTTGGCTGGACGCAGGCTGGACGCTGGCTAAGCGCTGGCACTGTGGACGACGATGCGGGACTGAGGCAGCACGCTGACGCCTTCTCTGCTGAGCGCCAGCCTATGCTGATGTGGCGCATGCCACCTGTCTTCATTGCTGATGTGGTGCATGTCACCTGTCTTCATTGCTGATGTGGTGCATGTCACCTGTCTTCATTGCTACTGTGGCGCAGGCCACCTGTCTTCATTACTGATGTGGCGCATGCCATTTGTCTTCAGTGCTGATGTGGCATTCGCCACGCTGTCTACACTGGGTGATTGGACGCGACAAGGAGGGAGATTGGGAACTGTGGATGATTGATTGGGATCTGGATACTTACCTGAGGTTGACGTCGATACTGTGCGCTGCTGATTGTCTCCATCATCTTCACGAGGGAACAGTGCCACGTGGCACCTCAATGTGATCAGGAACTTTCAGGCTCGTTATTGGATACTGTTTGATGACGTGGAGGCGAGGGGAAGCCTGGAGAAGGAGTAGGGAATGTTGGGCTATCCTCTTGATGGTCATTGATATTATTATCTCTTCCACCCTCTAAACTGTCTATTCCCCCTCACCTCTCTTCGTCCTCTGGAAACGAGACATTGTATCAGATATCACATTCATGATTATTGGAGACGTTGATCTGAGTTGAGTTACTCGGTACTTCGACATTTGGCGAGTATCTTTCAGTCTGGGTTCATTGCAGTAGCCAATAGTGATTTTACGTCCTTCAGGCCCCCCGAGTCATCCATTGAAATTGGAACGAGACTGAGAAGATAAGCACAGCCCCTGCACAAGGATGAAATGCATTGAGGGAAAAAAAAGAAAACAAATCAAAAACATCCTGAGTACTCTACTCGTTAATGTCGCATAGCAGTGGTGAATCCCTGGTGATAGCATCATTAGCATGTCATGGACAGAATTAGGAAGTATATTGGCCACAACAAAGAACTCAATTCTCTCCTCAAAGGAAAATTTTATGTGAGTTCACCTCCTTAAGAATGTCAACAGCTAAAAAAATTAAGAACAAAAAAGATTGTCAACAATGATTTCCAATACTCTTCTGACCCCATCAGAGTGTGAACTTCAAGTTGTACTAAACAGCATGACCGTTCTCTTCTCCGATGAAAACGCAGAGTTTGGTTGGGGGGGGGAGGGGAGGCATTCCCTTCTGAGGGCAAGTGGGGTTGATTGGAGGGAACTTGTTGTGCTCTTACATCAGATAGGACTTCCATTCAGTATGGGACAAATTTTTGGGCAACAAAAAGAATCCAGAACAAAAGCTGCTACCGGGGTCTCAGTCCCACCTGCACATTTTCGTTGTGGGAGGCTACAACGAGGAGAATGGCGGGCACCTAAGGACCATGGATTGACACAATCGATGGTCCCTAGACGGCCCCCAGTTGCTTTGTGGTAGCCTCCAACAACAGAAAGGCGCAGGTGGGACTGGGCCCTTGGAAAGCGTGGGCAGCGTTCTGGAATCAGGCCAAACAGCGCCCTGCTTAACCTGTTCCATGGGAACACGGACAACTCCCCGGGTCAGATACTTCCCTGACGTGGTCGGACGGCGGGAAAAAAATTATCAAATGGCCTTGGGATTGGAAGGTCATTCTCTTAGGTCACTGGGCTCCTCAAGATGTCACACTATCTAATTTTGTGACTATGTTTTTTTTAATTGGCCGAGAAGCAAGGCTTTGGACGCTATGGTGTAAAATATGTGTTGTGGAAAGAGAAGGGGTATGCTTGGGAGGATCTGAAACAGCAGGCTATATAGTACAGTTTGCCGAAACAAAAATCAGAGCAAAATGGGCAGCAGTTAAACCACCAGTACTTCGGCCGTATATGGGTCGCAGGCCTTACCCATTAACCCGCCGCAGTTTTAGGGGTTTGAGGAAGGCCCGGCAGTGCAATGGAGGAGGAAGCCTGCAGGCCCAAAGAAAAGGGGCGAATGGACTGCAGGCTGTCTTGGTTTATGCCGTGGCGCTGAAGGCCACTGAGTGCAAAAAAAAAAAGAAAAAGAACATTTCAGCCTAGCAATTTCGGGAAGGTTTCGGACCGCGAATGATGGATTCCGCATTTGCGAAAAGACGTTGAAGATCACGGGGAACAGTACAGGCATCTTAATGGGTCTTGCTGCACTACTCTCCACATGCAAGAGATGGCAATGTATCTGTCCATGTCCTAGCGGTGGATTCACTCTCTTTTTGCACATTTCGGGAGTGGTAGTTACTGAATAACGTGCATCTAGGGCATTAGGGCATCAGGCCCCGCCGTGCACAGCGGACACCCTCAGCCTCAAGAACGAAGTGACTGTCTCGTAACCACTACACCCCCAGCCTCAAGAACGAAGTCTTGTAACCACTACACCGCTTGGAGGTGCTATAGAAATTGGATCCATACTGGTCATGATATCCAGCCCACCTCCAGGGCTGTAGCTTCCTCGAACTCATACCACACACACAACACCACACCACACCACCCCATACCATGGACACGGACCTGGACACGGCAATCAACACACTCCGCTTGGACAACACGCAGCCCCACCACCGCTAATTAACCTGGTCACTCCAAGGCGGACCAACTACCCGCGGGTTTCACAGGCACCTTCACAGTAGTTACTGAACAACGTGCATTTAGGGCATCAGGCCCCACCGTGGACGCACGGCCTCGAACCGGCACCCTCAGCCTCAAGAACGAAGTCTCATAACCAGTACTAACCACTACAACCCTTGGAGGTGTTATAAAAACTGGATCCACACCGGTCGTGATATCCGGCCCACCTCCTTGGAGGTGCACACACGGCCTCGAACCGGCACCCTCAGCCTCAAGAGTGGTGTCGTGAGGCCCAATGAAATGGACAAAAAAAAAAAACAGAAAACGGCCTTCCAGGGCATTTTCATCCTAAAAACTGGTGGAATGTGTCAGCTCTTTTGGCTGTGACTCACCCTGAGAATCGGGGAGCAATAGATTCGCTTTCAGGTGTCTGTCATTCTTTTCTGGGGTAACTTTGGCGCTGTCACGAAAACAGTTTGAAAATGCACTTCAGGCAATCCTGTGAACACAACACACCCCGATGTGACTCCACCGGACCCGAAACCTAGGTTATATACATTCACCATTACGGACCCTTTCTTTTTTTTTCTTTTTTTTTTTACCGAACAAAGCAAATATCATATAACTGGGTAACGGGCCCGACGTCCCTTACATCATTTGCTGCGGCCAAACGGGTAAGCAAGGCACTCTCGACAAACCTATCCCTACCGCAGCCCCACAAGGTCATAACAACCAATCCCAAATCCAACCCTAAAACAAAAATCACGTTCCCTAATTTACGAAACCGAAATCCTAATCCACCCCTTCTCCAAACCGCCGTTATTAAGCAACCCTAATCTAGCGAAATGGAAGCCAGGTAACAAATCACCAACCAAAAGCACGAAAACAAGATTGTCAATGATCTAATCTTAATTACCCACGGACAGAATCCCAAATGATTCACAAAGTTCCAACTCTATACCCTACGCACCTCCAATCAGCAAGTTGAACCCCAACTAAAAACCAAATCAGCAACCCACGTGACGGACCAACCCATGGGCAAAAGCAACAACCTTTCACAAAATTCACACTCTACACTCTGTATACCTCTAATTAACACCGCCAACCAGCAACAAGGTGGCAGATCTTTGCCAACCTCTGAAACTCACAACCGTAATGAGCATCAATCCTACCTAGCGAGTATGGCTACCCTAATAGTCGACAAACAAAGTCAACGAATTACCAGTTCACAAAGACTAATTATACACCCGAAAGTTCCCAAACAACCGTGATTGGTACTATTCTATACTGAGAAGACACAGCCAAATGATTAGAATAAAAAAACAACGAAGAAACTGTGAGCGCACTGAAGGTAAGAGAATCATGAGCAACACCACGCCCGAAGTAGGAGCTAAGACAACAATGGACAACTTCGGTCGCAGCTTGAAGCCCGTTGTCAGCGACGGTGGGCGATACTCCTGGAAGTCGACGTTTGTCGATGCACTCTTGTCCTTCATCTCCAGCTCTTCGCACAGATAAAACTGCAACCGCCGTTGCGACATGATCATGTTCCGTATCTGTAATCAGAGGGCAAAGATCTGACGCGTCGAATTGGTTCATTCCGGATTGGTAGATCGTCAGCGCTGACGTCAGATAAAACTGACGGCAAAGATCTGTAATCAGAGGGCACCTGCCACCCGGTTCGTCAGATAAAAATGACGGTTGTAATCAGAGCGCACCCGGTTCGTCAGATAAAAATGAGGGCACCATGTCCGAAAATGTCCGGGTCCAGGTCCGGCGTAGCCACGGGAAAATCGATGCCCTCGAGAAAAATCCCTCAGACTCGTTTTTCTCTAAGATCGTGGCTCAACGTAGAAGAGCCAGATTGATGCAGGAATGTAAAAACACACAAATCAGACATCATAACTTGTGGGGAAGGCACAGGCAAATAGACAAAATCCTACACACCGACAGGCTAACCAACAAAACTGCAACAACAATCAGCCATACGCGTAACTCCACCCTCATCACTCTCCTAGAATATCCGGACGACCCTTCCAAACCACATGCAAGAGACTCGACAGCCTTGTGGGAGTACGTCAGCCTTTTTTATGAGCAACTTATAACTTCCGAAACCCCCCCCGACTCCCCCATCATTCCACCACACCTAGAACACACCCTATGGGACGCAACCTCACACATTCTCTCTGACATGGAATCTGCTTCATTGGAAGGTCCAATCACACTATCCGAACTTGCAGCGGCACTAAACAACATGGCTAAGGGCAAATGCCCCGGACCAGATGGTCTGCCAGTAGAGTTCTACCTCAAATTTTGGACCCTACTCGAACCGGATATCCTCTGGGTTTTCAATCAGATTCTGACGGAACAAAAAAAGGAAACAAAGCGGGCGTTAGGAACTACAGACCAATCTCCCTACTAAATGTACATGGAAAAATCCTTGCTAAAACATTGGCTCGCCGCATCAACCCCCTCCTAAACAAGCTTGTACACCTAGATCAATCCGGTTTCATATCTGGCAGGCAAGTTCTGAATAATGTGATGACTATCTCTCAAGCCATTGACTGGACTAAAACCCACAACTTGAACAAAACTGTTATCCTCATAGATTTCCAGAAAGCATATGACCGGGTGAACTGGGACTTCGTTCAAGCGACACTAGAAAGGGTAGGAGTGGGACAAAACTATAGGACGTTTGTGAAGGCACTTTATGGTGCATCGTACGGCAGAGTCTTAGTAAATGGACACCCCTCCTCACCCTTCAATGCCACACGCTCGCTGCGCCAGGGCTGTCCACTAGCCCCCTCACGATCCGTAATCCAGCTAGAAGTGCTAATGAACATGGTAAGACAACACCCAGACTACACAGGTCTCCAAGTATTCCCATCTTTCTCGATTAAGGTGTCAATATTAGCTGATGATTTCTCAGCCATTTCTGACAATTCCCTACCCTCATTAACCGCGTTGGAACTATGCCTCTCGACCTACGAAGCAGCATCTGAGATGAGAGCTAGTTGGCATAAATCTGTCGCTCTCACTCCACATGGTCAGCCTCTCGCCCTGGACCTGGGAATTCAAGTCATAACTGCAGCAGAGGTTGAAAGTTATTCAGGGATTCAAGTCTCCTTTGGAGATTCAGCGGAGGTAGAGAACACAATAATTGAAAACAGAATTAGAAATGCCTGTTCATCGTGGTCAAAAACCCGTTTTCTATCTCTCCTAGGAAGAGCGACTATCATTAACACATTCACAACCTCCAAAATCTGGTATATTCTCTCCATCAGGTCCCCCTCCCCCAATTCCTTCTCCAATATTAGACACCTCATCAAGCGCCTGTTATGGAAGGGTAACTCAGAAGCAGAATCAGCCCTCAGCAAAGTAAGTTGGAGCAAAATCACATAAAAAAAAAGCGGCAGGAGGTCTAGGCATCCTGGACCCCGAAAATAAGAACCGAACCCTCTTGGCCAAGTGGCCTGTCTGAGCCATGACCTCTACGGAGGACCAGTTGTGGATCATACTTGCCGAACACTCCCTAGCTAAGGAATGGAAGCTCTCAAACCCAGAAGCGGTCTGGAGTGCCCTGCTGATGCGCCCCTTCACCACCAGATAACATCCTCAAAGCCTGGTCAAAGATGATCCCCCAAATGCTTTCTGACCCTGCCACTCGAGACGAGATCCTGAACACTTGCCTATTCGAGAATCCCTCAATCCGTAACAAGGCAGGGTTCCCCTTCTCGGTTGCCAAAGCAACAGGAAATTTCGGACTCAAATGGATGCAGAGAGGCATATGGTTGATTCGCCATATCTGGGACGAAGACTCCAAGAACTGGAAGACTGCAAGAGATCTTCATCTTCAACTCACGGGACTGCAACGCCAAACAGACCACTTGAGAGAAATTACGGATGCCATCCCCCACACATGGATAGACATCCTTCAACAGACAGGCAAAGTATTCAAGGAAGACCAATGGTTCAACGCCCCTTCATCTACGGACAAGTTCCTCAGAATGGATAAAGTTAATGGCGGCGGCACAACAGAAGCCTCAGAATGGTCCCAGGTCGGTGACAGACTAAACCAGACTGGGGATACCAAGCTAACTACTCTATCGGATATGGAGGAGGTAAGAGTCCATTACTCCAAGGATACAAAGGGACACTCGGTTATTCGGGTCATCATGGCAGCTATCCCTATTAGGGATTGGAAAACAGATGTTTGCAGGTACGGTTGGAAAGTCTCACAGGCTGACGGCTCCGTTAGCAACGTGCCCATCAGGGATTACTCGGCCCAGATTGGTTACTCCCTTTTCTCTGAAGCCCACTCTCTACAAGCAGGTCTCATTCTAAATTGGCAGCGCAGACTCTCTGCCCTTAATAATATGAATAAAGAACAGCAACCATTTGGAAGACAGCGGTTGGAGGCCCCAATGGATGCCCCTACACTCATGTGCCCCGACCTCACTATGGTGTTCGGAGAAAGGGATGGACATCTCCACTTTGTGTGATGCATGTCTGCACCCATGCCTAGAGGACTGGTTACACCTGTGGTGGGAATGTGTCATTGCTAGAGGCTTTTGGGACAACCTGAACTCGCTGCGGGCAGAGGCATATAGTTTTGCAGACTTATGGAACCAGGATTTTGTTATTACAGGCAGACTGAACCCCCACATTAGCAAGCATCAGATTGGTATTGTTGCTCAGACATTCAGGTTAAGGGCCTTTTGGTGTATCTAGCTCGCCAGAAGAGACAGGCGCTTCCTCAATTCCAACCCCTCTGTTGCTTCACTACTTTCGCAGTTCAAACATTCAATTAGATTAGACATTATGGCAGAATGGATTAAATTCAAACGTCAAGCTACCTCGATCGACTTAGCCAGAGAACAGTTTCAAAAGAAATGGTCCTTCGGTGGGCCGGTTTCACAGATAGGAATACTCTCTTCTACTCAGAACTTCTGTGGGATTTTCCCCCCAGGCCTAGCTTGCTAGCTTCCTATCAGGCAGTTTCTCACTGAGAGGGCCAGGTATCCCCTCCACTTCTGGTTCTGCTACCTTAAGCATCGCTATCCCCTCCAAATGGTTCTGGTATCCATATTTCCGGGTAGACTGTGAGGACCCCGGTCTCTTGTTTTCGGTTCTCAGGGACGTTGGGCCCGTTTCCCAACATGTGCAGCTCCCCACCAATAGATTGGAGCAAAAGGAAAAAAAAAGCAGGAAACATCTGTTACTGTTATCCCCTGACCAGTGGGCCGATGAGTGTCTGCCCTGCCCAAGGTCCTGAACCAGGAAGGAACTGCGTCGTCGTGGGTCCCTGACCAGTGGGCCCATCAGTGTCTGCCCTGCATTGCCACTTCTTGTTCAATGCTGGGACTCCCTTCACTACACAACGTTCTCAATGCATCTGGACCTTCTCAATGCAACTGGACCTTGTTTGTGAAGTGATGCAGCCCGGCTGGGTATCTTGTACTCTGCTGCAATGGGTCTCCCTGCACTACAGCAACTCTCCACTCTCCGAATTCGTAGAGTTTGGGCCTCACCACACCACTCTCGAAATGTGGAACAGACAAAAATGGGTCGGGTGCATCTGGCCATGTTCAAGCAGGACGTTCATTCTCATTTTGCACATTTCGAGAGTGGTGTGGCGATGCCCTTTTTCATTGCTGCACTAACTATCCTATCCCACCATCCCAAAATCCTCCGGATTGGTAGATCGTCAGCACCCGGTTCGCGCTTCCGATTACAGATACGGAACTTGCGGCGGTTGCAGTTTTATCTGTGCGAAGAGCTGGAGACGAAGGACAAGAGTGCATCGACAAACGTCGACTTCCAGGAGTATCGCCCACCGTCGCTGACAAAGGGCTTCAAGCTGCTACCGAGTTGCAACGGCGGTTGCAGTTTTATCCGACGCGTCAGATCTTTGCCCTCTGATTACAGATAAAAACGGCGGTTGTAATCAGAGGGCACCCGGTTCGTGAGATAAAAATGGCGGATAAAACTCGACGCGTCAGATCTTTGCCCTCTGATTTATGCAAAGGCGGGTGTCCTTACGTGGCACCCGGTTCGCGCGTCGGATTGGTTCATTCCGGATTGGTAGATCGTCAGCGCGCCGACGTGCGAACCGGGTGCCACATAAGGATCACGGTTTGGACTGCGGATAAGCAGAGATGCAGAAAAGCAGTTCAATCTCGATTTCTTGCACATCTTCATAAACTCGTCCAGATTCAGGCATTCGATCCGATCCTCTTTGTTAGTGGGACCACGCCCCGGGTGTTCTCTGTCTTTTTTTTTTTTTTTTTTTTTTTTTAATGTGGCCCGATGGACCACGGCGGATCAGTTATTAAACCGATCAGAACAGATAGATCTGTTTTTAGCCAAAAGGCCGAGAAAGGTATAGGTGATCTATGTCCGCCTCCTCCAGGGTGATTTGTCCGGATGTGGGAGAACGGCGGAGGAAAGGACATTGGCGTGCCACTGGACAGGCGATAACCGTCACATCGGACGGGATAGAGCGACGAGGAGAGAGCGACGAGGGCACGAGAACGGAGACCATGGGTGAGGCAGAGGGAGTAGTGTTTCGACAACTCTTTGAGGAGGAGTCGAGCACGTACACGTACATCCTGGCGGACGGCTGCGATCCCAGAAAGAGGGCCGTGATCATAGATCCGGTTGATCGAACGGTGGAACGAGACTTGAAGATGATAGAGGAGCTGGGACTGACGCTGGTGTTCGCAATGAACACACACGTGCATGCAGACCACGTGACGGGCACTGGAAAAATTAAGTCGTTGTTGCCCGGCGTCAAGTCGGTCATCGCTGCCGCCAGCGGCGCGCAGGCCGACCTCTACGTGCACGACAGGGATAAGATCAGGTTCGGCGGGCTAGCACTCGAGGTGCGCTCGACTCCAGGTCACACGCCAGGGTGCGTCACCTACGTGGCCAGCCTTCCAGTACGTCCTCCAATCCCTCCCTCTCCCAGCGAAGCCCTCTTGCTAGAGGGCGATGGTGTTTACCGACCAACGACGAACGATGACGGCGCCAATAGCAGCTGCGCCAGCAGCTGCTTGATGGCTTTCGTTGGTGACGCGCTGCTTATAAGAGGCTGCGGCCGGACGGACTTTCAGGGAGGCGACGCTTGCCAGCTATACAGATCTGTGCACTCTTAAATCTTCACTCTCCCTGATCACACGCTCATCTACCCAGCTCACAATTACAAGGGCTTCACTGTCAGCACCGTTGGAGAGGAAATCAAGTACAACCCAAGACGCACAAAAACTGAGGACGCGTTCAAGGAGCTAATGGGCGGGTTAGGGCTCGCTTACCCGAAGATGATGGGCATTGCCGTTCCCGCGAACAAGGTCTGCGGCGTGCAGGGACCATCTCTTGCGACAGCATAGCTTCCCTGTACTGGATAATCGCTCACAGTGACAGTCCATTTATTTATTTCCTCTCGCCATTAATTAGCACGCATCCTTTTCGCAAAAAAAAAAAAAAAAAAAAAAAAAAAAGAAGCACGCATCCTTTACGCCTTGGTCAACGTGCGCACGCGCATCGTTCACATGGCAAGCAGTCAAAACTGCGCGTGTGGGTGGGGAAAGGGGGGGGGGGGGGGGGGGATCTGAGCCTTTCACCCAACTGCCACGAGCATAGAAAAATTTCGCTGCGCGAGCAACGCTGCAAAGGCGGAGACATTATTCCACTCACCCTCACACCTTCCTTACCTTTCTTTGACGTGCGCACCCTCTGTCGAACCGTGCGGGCGGGTGGGTGGGTGGGTGGGTGGGTGGGGGTGAGGGGGTGGGGAAGAGGGTGGGGAGTAGTGTGGAGGGAGATGTGAGCCTTCCACCCAACTGCCACAGGCATGAAAAAATCTCGCTGCGCGAGCAACGCTACAAAGACGGAGACATTATTCCACTCAACCTCAGACCTTCCTTGCCTTACTTCGAAGTGCGCACCCTCTGTCGAACTGTGCGTGTGGGTGGGTGGGGGTGGGGAAGGGTGTGGGAAGTAGTGTGGAGGGAGGGGGGTCTGAGACTTCACCCATCTGCCACAGGCATCAGAATCTTGCTACGCGAGCAATGCGGCAAAGACGAAGATATTGTTCCACTCACCCTCAGATGGCGTAGAGCCCGTAAATTACGGAAAACGTTTTTAATTAGGGGGACAACAACAGATTTGATCTGTGTGTGTGTATGTTTCACTCATCCTAACGTCGATGAGAGGTGGTAGCAAAAATCGCCACTATCTTGAATTAGGGAAACCAGCGTATTTGGTTTCTGATAAAAAATAAAAAAAGGTTTCTTATGTCGTTTGTTGACTTCTTTGGCAGCCCGTCTTCGTCAATCCCGAGACAGACAGTTGAGGCAATTGCGCAAGTGTGTCTGGCGTCATAGAGTATAACTCCTTTTTATGCATAAACTTTTTTTTTTTTTTTTTTTTTTTTGGAGGAAGTGCTCAGGATGCTTGCGGCAAGGCAATCATGATGGATTTCACCCCACGACGTTCTGATATCACTTTCACCCATCCGTTGCGTAGCCTTCAGTTCAGCCAGGCGAAATACAGTCCGCTACCTTCTTGCCCCGAATACAACGTACGGTCATTATAGCTGCATTTGATGCATGTTTCAGTCTAGATACGGCTATAATGACCCTGCGTTGTATTCGGGGGAAGAAGGTAGCATGAGCACGTCCTTGATGAGTTCCTTGCAATTCTCATCGTTCAGGCATTGCGTGCATCGCGCTAGAGACCATCGAAAGCGTTTTTTTCGTTTTCTTTGAGATGGTAATTATAATATACTTGGTCGGTCGACGAGAATGAAAAAGACTTTTGAGGGTTGGAGAAGTAAAACTTGACGTTGCCCGGCGGAGAGATCGGCAGGATTGACACCTTTTTTTTTCTTTTTTTCTTTTTCCCTGGCAGCCTTTTTGTAATGATACGTAGATCGGGAGGATTGTCATCTTCTTTTTCCTTTTTTTCTTTCTGGCAGCCTTTTTGTAATAATCCGTAGAATAGTAGACGAGCAGGTTATGGCATCCTATTTGGGGTAAGATATTACACACCGGAAAGAGTTTGGATTGTCCACGAAAAATCTTCTCCCGATGGAGGAGGGATGATTAAGAGCTAGCATGCCTAAGGAATTTCTTATCTTCCGTTCCAAAACACTGTTGCATTCAGTTCTCGCCGGCGGAGTATTATCTTCCTTAGTTCGAATTCTGGCGCTACGTTCGTACTCGTGTGACGTTTTTGTAGGTTCAAACGTCGTACTGTGTGGTTTTGTTCGCATCATCACAATTGGGGGGTATTGTAACTTCTTCATTTCTGGAGGCAAACCCTGGTACGCACCCGGGAATGCCAAGATAAGTCTAATTCTCACTTTATGCGTGTCATCCTTGAAAGTGCAGGGGCCATGCTAATTACCCTTCTTTGTATCGTTCCAAATTTTACGGATCTCCCGAAGGACGATATGTCTAAGGGGCTGATCCGACTACTACGTTTGAAGGGGAGAACCAGAACCGCGTTGCTCGGCCCGTGCCGGTCAGACCAAAAAAGCGAAATTGCATCCCACTTGCCCGGTTGGGGCGGGACTTTTCCGAAGTTCGTGCCCGGTAATCGTGGGCGGGTCATGCAGGCCCAGCATCGAACGGACGAAAGGCTGACCACCGGACACAAGAAAAACCAAAAAAAAGAAAAAAGAACTGCCTTATTTTTCGATGCGGGGACGGTGCTGGCTTCGACCGATTTTAGCAACTTCTTTTTCGCCGCCGGTCGCGGAACACCTGCCAAGTACACTTTTGTTTTCACTTGCTGCCGAACTCGATGGGGAGACCTACAAAATCGGGAAGTAGTAGGATCCCGTCAAAACCAGTGGACTACGCTTAGTCGGATCAGCCCCTAATCCTCGCTCTAAATAGCTATAACAAACCTCCTTTGAAAAGCACTCCCAGCCTGCAATGCTGGCGTTGGTTTTCAGGATGGACGTCCACCTGACTCTCCAAAATGTTCCGAGTTTGGAGAGTGTGCCTCCAGTCTGGGCGGACAAATGCAAATCCCGCCGTGTCCTCCAGTGCTGTCATGGGCTCGGAGAGTGGATAGTTATAGTTAGTGCAGCGAAGAACCAAACATCACAATTTCGCAGAGCTGTTCTTTTTTTTTTTTTTTTTTTTTTTTTTTTTGGAACATTTCTCGATATATGCGTGTCGGTGTGCCCAGAGGCCGTGCTAATCTTCTCTCTCTTTATCCAGCGGCCTAGCTCAAGTGGTTAGGCACACAAGTGGCATTCAGAAGGTCCTGGGTTCAACCCCCATGGCCGCCTGTGGCACGCTCGGTGCCAACGGAACTGAGAGAGTCAGCTGGATCCTCCCAGTCGGTATCAATAAGGTCTTCAGCCAACATGGGTGTGAGTGCGCATGTGAGTGGGTTGTGTGTGGTGTGTGGGAGAGTGTGGGCTTTAAATGCATGGAGAAGGGGCAAACGCTTAACCTATCCATTTGAAGCCGACTCTAGGGCATGGGCAGACGCTTAACCTATCCATTTACCTATCCATTTAAAGCGTATGCCCCTTCTGCATCTATCCGCCAGCCCATGTGCAGACGCTTAACCAGTCTGCACATGCCCTTAAGTCAAGCGCGTGGGAAAGGTGGAGTTGAAGTTCGTCGGCTTCAAATGGATGCAGAAGGGGCAGACGCTGCCGAACCGCAATGGCAACTTCGTCATGAAGTGCAAGCTGTGTGACCAGGAATTCGTCGACAGTCAGAGTGAGTGTGTGTTGCACTTCACAATCAAGAACAACTGCCCTCAAGCGACGTTGGACATTTTGGCCGAGATCTGGAACAAGAGTTCCCACCACTTCGATCAGAGCCATTGGAAGAAGATACAGACTTACCTTGCGGAGAGGGGGTGGGCGGATAAGAGAGGACAGCTTGGTCGACAAGGGGGAGAGGAGGACGAAGACGATCCAAAGCGAGTGGCAAACGACGATGCAGAAGAGTCTGTCGGGGCATGTGAAGTGTCTGAGGGGGGAGGTGTGGATGTCGGTCGTGGGGTGGACGACGACAGGTCTGCAGACGTTCCAATTAACGTTGAGAGAGAGGCGGAGTGTGACCGCGGAGCATTGAGGGCGGAGAAGAGAGCGGTCCCTGACATTGTTACGTTTAGGAAGAGGAATGTTTCTTCGCTGGGTCCGCCGACAACAGTGGCCAGAAATAGGTTTCGTCAATCGCGCATGGAGGACGGCTTCGATCCGAAGTGGCAGCAAGACTTGGACGCATATTTTCTGCAGTGGTTTTATGTTAGCGGCATGCAGCGAGGAGTACAACATGTTCAGGCGGCACATCGCGACATGTCCCCCTCGGGTGCATCTGTCCCTGCCAAACCTTCACCGCATCTCTGGCGATGGTATTGTCGAGCAGCATAAGGGCGTTGCTGAGATGTTGACAGCAATGAGGAGAGATGTTGCAGCGACAGGAGCGACCATCCTCACGGATGGTCGCAAATCCATCACCACTGACCAGATAGTCAATTTTCTGGCAGACGGATCGTCAAGGGCATACCTTTTGAGGACAGTCCTGAGGGACAGGGTTGAGCAGGACAAGGCGGAAGTTGTTGTGCGGAGGTGGAAGATGATATTCGACGACTTTGGCGTTGGGAATGTCAATGTCATTTGTACGGATTCCGCGGGGACGTATGTTGACGCCGCAAAACTCCTTGCACAGGACAAGGATCTTCAATATAGCCGCATCAATTGGCTTCCTTGTGCAGTGCATGTCTGCAACTTGATGTTGTTAGACATCGACAAGGATGGGAGAGATGGTGTCATTGGATGCAGGGAGGACACCATTATCTAGGCGAGGGTGGTCGTGCGATTCATTCGATCACACGGAAGTAGTTATATATGGTTCACGTGCTCGTCCTTGATATTTTAATGTTAAAGTTAATAAAGAATAATTCTTATCAGAAATAACAACTTCACGAAAATTTTCTATAAATCCTTCATCGAGAAGAATTTTCGCAATACTTCTAGCAGTTTGCCCTCACCCTATTCATGTGATTTTTTGCGTGTTTGACTCACCCTCCCAAAGGGCAGACGGCGTCGGCTTCGACTGATACCTCTTCTCGTAGTCGGGAGCTCGTTTACCCGGTGCAGACGGGATTCGCCACACACTTCTTGATGTTGGAGAGGTTGCTGGAGCGTCGTCATGCGCTAGAGGAGATAATGATCAGCGACGAGTGGTTGCGTCAGCCGTGGAGACGGAGCTTATGATTGCAGTCGCGTTGGGTGCGGCAGCAGGTCAGATACGCTGCGATTCGGAACGATGTTGAGGATATTGTCGAGTTGATGACAATTGTCATGCAGCTGCTGCGCAGACTCGACCGTGGGGGACGTGTGATGTCGTGATTATGGTCCTGGTCACAAATGGTCATTCAGAGGGTGGCTCAGCCGCCGATCCGGCGGACCAGCCGCGCAGAGCTCGACGCCTTGATTGGAGGTCTGTAGGCGCGGAGGAGGCATATGTTGTAGCCTCCTTATTGCATGATCCACATCCTCAACCCGCATCACAGGAGCATTGCTTACTTTGAGGGGGTGCGGAGGACGAATCAGCGGAGGGAGTTGACGGAGGAGTCTTACATTTACCTGAGACAGCAGGCGGGATCCGACAGGCAGCTCTATCAGGATTTGCGGACAGCTTTGAGGGAGTTCCACAGCAGCGAGGGCGATTATACGTATGGAGATCGCGACGGGGACAGAGATGCAAAGGCTTGTAGGGGAGAGAAAGAGACATCGGCGGTTGGTCAGTGGTGGGTACAATGGGGGGACATTGTTCCTTTGTTGCAGACTATCGATGTTCGCCTGATGCACACGTGGACATGCGCCTCTTCTGCGGAGAGGAACTGGGCTGTCCACGAGCGCGTTCAGGTGAAGAGGCGGAACAAGCTTGCTTTTACCAAACTCACTTGTTTAGTGGAGATATCCACCAATTTGAGACTGCTTCAGTGCCACAGCAACGGTGCAGGATATGTCTTTCCATGGGAAGATGAGGACGTCGCCAGATGGACGAGAGACCGGAGCCCCGTGACTCAAGAGTCCGCCCTGCGGACAAGGTCACCACTGAGCAGCCGGACAGGCAGGTGCAGAAGGGACGAAAGGATTCCCTCACCTGACAGCCCGCGACCGTGGGGAGATACTTCGGCAGGCGAGCGATGATTTTGTTGCCACATGAAGAGAAGTCTGTGTACAACCCTGAACCAGACCTCTTACACAGGATTAGATTGAGGAGGAGCCATGGTCAAATCCAGATGACCTGGACGCGGAGTCGGAGCAATCTTCAGACGATGACGTTCCACTTTCACGGAATCACGGATGCGCCGTGTGACTCGAGAGTCCACCTCAGTCCGTCCTCATCTTTTGCCTTGCCCTCCACACAATTTTGCGCCCACAGTAGAGGATAGGGCCGATCATGTAGAGGTATCACGCAAGAGGGTGTCCGTTCGACAGCCGACCCACGACCATCGACTCGAGCACTGACGACGACGATAGAGGGTATGAGGGCAGCAGCGATTCCGACGACGATTTGGATTTTGGCAGGGGTGCAGAGAACGCAGTGGGTATAGGGGGAGAGCGACGTTCAGAGAGACAGAGAGGCGAGAGATTGTGGTAGGGGGGGAGGGGCTCAAAGGCAGTTCGGACAGGGGTGGTGGAGGTGGACGATCGGGGGGGCAGGCTCCTCGCTCCCCTCGTAGGGGGAGCTCCGTGGGAGACCACGACCATTCTGTGTCTGCACGGGTCGAGGGCGGCTTGATTTATGATTTTCTCAGTTTGTCGATGGGTCCACCTAACCCCCATGTCGACGGCAATGTCCCGGTCGTCGCAGAGGAGACACCTATCAGCCACGTTGTGGGAGGATTGGATATGGACGGGGGTGCCTCGAACAGTTTGTTGATGGAGGCAGCTCAGGGATGGAGAGTATGCCTGGAGTGAGCTTGCGGCGCACAGGGGATGATATTGAGTGTCCACCTATTGAGGAGATGGATGTGAAGACCGATGTAGAGAGGAGGAACCGAGAGGAGAGACAGCGAGAGCTGGCGCTTGCTCAGTGTTGCCCTACGACCTTGGACGCTGCGCGTGCACTTGAGACGGGCGTTGCATCGGTCGACACGCTTGATCGTCGTGACATATGTGGAACGGGGGAGCAGTCCTATAATGTCGAGGAGGGGGGCGGCCCCCAATGCGCGCACGGTGATGGTGGAATTTATAGACAGGGATTAGACCCCATACGAGGCGAGGACGATGATGAGGAGGGAGGTGGTGATGGGCCTGTCGGTGGAGGGGCTGCACCTTATGGAGGAACGGATGCAGTTGCTCAGCGTGATGTTTGCGAGGAGGAGGCACAAACCACCGGTGGAGGGCACGAGGCGGATGCAGGAGGTGGAAGGGCGCCTGCTGCACATGTGCTCAGGTGTGCAGATGAGGGACATCGTGAGCCGTCGACCGTTTTAATAGTCTCTGACCGCCCTGACGCAGGTGTACAGGGAGTATATGTGTTGCCTTCGGGTGGCGACATGCCCGCTGCAGTATTGGAGTTTGATGGGAGGGAGGATCTCTTGGTGGAAGATCAACGAGGCCAGATGGAGGACGATAGTAGGAGAGTGTTGGCAGACCCCCCACTGTATGTGCCATGTAGCCCATCTGTGTCGTTTTCCATGACAGGCGTGACCCCCCTTGGTTGGGATCCTGCGGTGCAGATGGAGAGCATTAGGGCCACATGCGCGACCAACACGAGGTCATGGGATAGTGCATCAGGACCGGGGACAGGGACAGGAGTGGGAGAGAGTAGAGGTTTAGATAGTCTTTCTCCGCAGTCGCGGATGAAGACACGGCCTCATGGGTTAGGTTCGGTGAGGAAGGTCACTTAGGCGATGGGAGACATGCAACCAGGATTAACTGTCATTCTTGCATTGTAGAGACCTCCACCGTTATCGGGCGGTGGGGACATCATGGTGGATACAACAGGTTCAGGTCAGGGCGAGATTGGTGGGCCACGTTTTGACAGCATGGGGGCTGGGCCATTGACACAGCGCGGCGCATGCATGACGGGGACCGCTAGGGGGGGGCCACGTGCGCCGACCCTTTTGACGGCTGTCGATCCACCTCCGACCCGCCCGCCAGCGAGAGGAGCGGGCCGCATCTTAAACGAGGACGGTAGAGACAGGACATCACGCATTGCTGCATGTGCACCGGACCCGTATTCCTCGGGGACTGACGGTTTGGAGATGCATGTGGGACGGCCTCGAAGGCACAATGTTCACCACATTTTGCTCAGAGACATGATCAGGGCCGAGGTGAGAGAGAGAGAGAGAGAG